AAGGACACAAAGAGAAGAAGGAGAGGGAAGGGGGTTGAATAGAGGAGAAGAGAGAAAGAAAATTCAAGCACACGGTCGTCTGTCTTCTCTACCAGCGAGAGACACTTGCGCGACACGATTATTTCTTTAACATTTTGCTTGATCGGAGTTTCCTGCACTGACTGCGAGGAAACATAGTTCGCACCTTTTCTTGGTTCGCGCGGCTCGCGTTGCATACACACTTTCACGCGCGTACGCGGCTGCGTCCCAGAAAAATCTCTTTACACCTACTCGTCACTCGATCTAAAATCAACCTGATCGGTGCCGAAACGTTTTCATCCACGGTCTAAGTTTCACTGAGACGGCGCTGCGTACGCTCGCACCTTCACCATCGAGCTTGAGGTTAGGGAGAAGGTCGCTTGTGCTCGGATTCGTTGGTGCTACCATCTTGCGTCATTATTGTAATTTTCGGCAAATTAATTCCGTTCCAATTTGAAGCTTTGATTTATTACTTGTGATGTTACAAAGATGTATCGTGTTAGATGTATAATATAGAATATATGTAATTGTTTATTAATATTGTTATAACAATGTTATTTTAGAGACATAAGTATAGTAACACTAAACATCTTATAATTTGTAGAAATGTGAATATATGTATACTTAGGCATATGTCCTAAAGTTTTACTATTGTAATTACCTTTTCTGATCTATGAATAGATCATTATAGCTTTACAGAAATACGACGATTAGGAGTACAAATATTCAAAAATAAATTGTAGCATCAAGCGTCAAATATAATTACACATTTTTATCAAAGTTTACTTTAATTATTCGATGTTCAACTTATTCAAAATTACCGAGACTTAACTTAAAATAGAGTAAATAAGGTTTGGACACAAATATAGCTATCAAAATACAATTTTTTCATTTTTATTATAGAAACAGAAAAATTAAAGAACAAGAGTCTCTTGTAGCTTAAGTTGTTTTTTGCTTTTTGCTTTCACTTGTGCAGCGATGCGATCTAAATCTCTACGACCTTGACTGGTAAGCTTACGTCCACCCAGTGGAGCTTTTTCAATGAGTTTCAGTTGTTCCAAGCTTTGAAGAGCTTTACGGGCAACACCACCTGCAGATCGGCAGAAGTGGCTGGGATGGGTGCCGTTGCGTTTGCGTCCTCCAAAGATTTTTGTTACTGCTCCAACACCGATTGGACTACGAATATAAATATGACGAACCAAAGCCGCGCATCTAATATAGTACCAATCTGGATCATACGGAGCAAGTTCCTTGAAGCGTGCAGATTTTACGATGTCAACCCATTCTGGCACTCGCATTTTGCCAGTTCTAAAATATTAAACAAATCAATAGTTATACTTAAAAGAGTTACGGGTATACATATTTTAAAAATGTAAAATATAAAATATACATATTTTGTTGTTAATCTATAACAAGCTTCTATGTCATGAAAATTTTTGAGGTTAGTTACATCTATATAAAAACAGTTACTTACTTTTTCAAAAAGGCTGCGAAAGCCTTAACGAATTTGTGCTGGTCAACGTCCTTAAGCGTTACAGACGGCATCTGAAACAAACATCGTGATAAAAAATTGTCAACAATGCAAATGTTGTACAGGTTTACTCCACACGTGTATTGTAACAACAATATCGTAGAGCTCAATTAAAGTACGTCATGTATATAAATATACATGTAAATATTATATAAAGTACGTTAATTACTTTGTATTATAACTTATACTACCTTTCTTCTTACAATAATATGGCGAGTTGTGGAAAGTTGAATAAAGTAGACACCTTTGTCCGAAAGCCAACCGGAAAGAGGGTAGCAAAAAGATGGTGCTAGAGGCAAATTGTTAAGTGGCAGCACTAACAGGAAACGACCATGAAATTTCGATACATAGAAACGCGTCTTAATAAAAATATAGTAGACTATTTGTTTGATCGATAATCAAAATATACATAATTGAAGAATATAGTTTAGATTTTATCTTCGAGGTTTTGAACTTTTTACTACTTCTTCGATTATGTTAGGGTATAACAAAATTTAAATAAAGTTTCGTTTATACATGTAAATACATTATAGTAAGTTTCATGACATATACAAACGAGGGGTTTACAAAATTTACTGATATTATCAAAATACAAACTAAATACTTGATAAAGATAACGTAATCGCAAAGATGAATTTTATTTTAATCATGACGTCATCTTGATTTTGACGAACAGCGCTGCTGAACGTGTAGTTGCAAGTGAGAACATAAATACGTTGTTCCTACGATATAAAATAGAGATTCCGTTAAACTTTTGATATGTTTAAAACTTTGTGTCAACAGTATCTAAAATCTTCGTTTTCTAAATATAATTTAATCATTATGAATTCCTGTTGTAAGGACGTAGCGTTAACGGAGCCAATCCCTTTCTCGAAAGATTTTCTTTTTCGTCAAGTAAGTCAATAACTGCGCAGATTTTCGTTCTGTTGTTGTGGTTGTAGCGACATCTGACGATTTCTTATGTATTAACAGTTTCAGAGAATCAATTTTTACGAATTGCGCATTTCACGTTGAATGTTACTCTTTTATTAACTTGATTTATGATTCATACAAATCTTGTTATTTGTATTTAAATTTGTAATTTATATTATTGCTCTGCTATTAATTTTATGAATTACGTAACGACTGTAGTTATGACATTTTCCTTGATAGTAAGGATATTTTCAATAGTATTCCGATATACAAATACTACAAATTAATCGTTATCCACAGTGACCGGTAAGTAATAACTTTCAACGGCTTTCAGCGTAACAGAATTATTGTAAATTATACAAAGTTATAAACTCACATGCAAAGTAAAATTATGTAAAATTGTGCAATTACAAAAAATTATTCATCGTTAGATTGCGGATTTTTATGCAGATTCATATTTTCGAGAATACAATTGAAAGAGTAGACTTTCGGTAGAACGTTGTTTTACCTATCGAGTATTACTAGATATTTTATTCATTTTTTCAGCGTAAGTGCTTTCTGTGCAATTCTGCACTTTCAAATTTCCCATAAAAATTCGCAATCTATTCGTCGTCGTCGTAATTACACAGTATGTAGATTTTTCTAAAAATGATTTCCCACAAAACAGTTTCATAAAGAATCCTATGCTTTATATATCTCTGTAGAATTCTAAGGCAAATTTCGTCTATACCAATACTTTCATTTTGCCATTGCATTTACATATTCATAAATTTGATCAATAATCGTAGTCTATCGTAAATCCGTCAGAAATTAGAATCTTCCATAAATTTCAGTTTACCACTTTCGAGTGCCTTTTTAACAAGTTTTAATTGAAATTCTTAGATGTTCGATCCCGTGTCCAGTACGTATACTTATCTATTGGCCGACATCGACGATAAGACCGCGATCTTAATCGACCCGGTCATCGAATGGGCAGAACGAGATAAAACCATTATTCAGGAATTGGGATTAACGTTAAAATATGCTAGTAAGTTGAGAGTATAATCACGTTCGCAGAAATCATTCTCCATTCGCTGTTGCTTGAAATTCGCCGCAGTACCGGAAATAGGTTGACCATTTTTTGCTGCACAGAAAATAAAATTGGATTCACGGAATATGTTTTCCCAGGCGAACAAATTTTTCATTCTCGAGAAACGACTTTGAAAATTATTCGAGGGTGAATATACTTTCAGCTGGAACAAAATTGAACGCTTTTCGTTATAATGCTTTCTGGTCTTTCGGTAAAACTATATGCGACAAAATTTCTCTTTGTCCTTGTGCGTAGTAATATCGGTCGAGATATTTGCAAAAATGCTGTCAAATAGGGATGCGTTAACGGCAGATTGTACATTTTTCATTGCAATGTACACATCTATATGTTCATGCTACTAACTGATCGAATTCGTCGCACTGCCAATATGTAAATGATTAAATTAGCTTTAAGTTAATCATTGTGATATTACGATATGCTCTTTCGTATCATATCGATTTATAAATTTACATCTATTATATGCGAATATGTACCAATATTACAGACTCGTAATGAAATTTAATCAGTGGATGTTCAATCAAGCATTATCATACATGAATCATATATGAAGTACAGATTAACTATCCGGTTCGATGAAGATTGATTTTTTAAGGACTGAAAGTTGCGTCGAACGATATAATCGAAGGGTACGGTGAAAAAGTGATGCGTGTCACAGCTGTGATAATTTTTCATATTTCTATATTAATCATCGTTCGTTTTATCGTCTTCGCGGCATATCGTGGCACCTACTCTTCCGTGAAACGAGTAAATATTTTGTAAGATATAATGCTTTTAAAAATATATTTAATATAGCTTTTGCGTATAATTCGTAGCACTCGCGTTTCGTCGTTTCGAAATATAAAGATCGATAAATTAGTCGTTCGTTAAAGTCGAAAGATTGCCATTTATCGTTTGTTTCGACCATTACATCCACCAGTTGTAGTAATTGCAATTCATGTCAAGTTAAAAAAAAAAAAAAAAAGACATCGAATTTCACGAGAAAATTTTCTCTCGAAACGTAACGTTTTCTCTTGTAAATTTATAATATCGTAGCGTACATAAAGGTACGTTTCTTTTAGAACAATTCCATTGTTCTCAATTTTACCATGATTTTCAGTTTACCTTGTAGAGAAGCGAAGCGCATCAAATCTTGTTTGGACGTAAAAGCTGTGTGTTTAAGTGCATTATTCGGTTGATTTGTTCCGACTGCGAGGAACGAGCAACTAAATTAACCATCAGTTGTTTCAATCTGATTACATTGCACCGGAGAAATGTGCGACAGTTAAAGATCGCGTACGATGAAACAAAGACTCGAACGATTTAATGTACCGTGTTGATATATCTGTCGGTACAATAGGTCAAAAACGTTCTTGTCGGTTAAAACTTCTTAACTGCAGTCTATTGAGCGCGAGCACAGCAGTCGGTAATTCAATAATTTAAATGAAGTGCTGGTATTATTAAGGAAACCGTGCGCTTAATTGTTCAAATTGCCACTCGAAGTCTTCTATACCAACTGAAACGTAAAAACATCGTCTCTTGAAAACATGTAATTATATGGCCATCGGCTTATTGAAAAAGTTAAGGAGCACAGTTTTATACATTGTGTACTGGGTGTTTCGCGTAATTGGATGGCGCTGCATACGTATCGAAAATAAATAGAAATAGAGAAAAGTTTCAAGCGGTATAACGAGAAATTATAGACAAAATTTATATAACGAATTAATATTAATACAATTAAGATAGATAGCTGGAAAAAGCGATATTCAATTTTATATAACATGTCGTAGTGGCGAACAAACGGTATATCGCGACGAATGAAAATATTGGCACAGATTGACTTCCCTTGTCGAATCTGCTGTTTTGTAAAGACCACGATTCTTTGTTTGATCTTTTCTCTCTTTTTTTTTTTTTTAGAATATAACTTTCTAACTAGAAATATTTAAAGTTGGAAGGAAAGTTTGAAAGAAACGATATAATTTTATTAAAAAAGTAACGACGTTGCAACTCGTCTTTCTGAAATTTCTTTGTACTTCTAACAGTTTTAAAGATATTAATTTCATTCAGTTCGACGGAACATCGAATGGACATAGACTTACGACCGCAGTAAGACTGGAAGTAAATTCAAATGGAAGTTTTACCATATTCCGCGTCTTCATTATCATTTTTCTCGATTCGTTGCCTCGTAATTTCCTTCTCGTATTTTCTAAGTTCTTACCGATTTAATTGACAAACTTAATAATTTAAATGCAACTCTCCGCCGCTCCTTTTACATTTATCGTTAGCTCTTACAAAAATAAATGAAAACGTCCGTGGAAAGCATCGAGCGACAAGTGCCATCGCTTCGCTGAGATTTTTAATACAACGGAATCTCGACTTTGCGGTTATATTTTACTCGAAATACTGCCGACATTTCCAGTAATTCGATTATCCGGCTTTGCTGTAACTAATTACTTCGGGTAATCAAGGTTTCGCTGTATTATAAATGAATGGCGAGAAGGAGATGGACGATAGTGGTCGACGAAGAGCGCTCTCGTGTGTGTGCACATGATCGCTGATAACCGTTTGGATAAACGCCTTTTGCAGTAAATACGCATATGCACGCTGATCATATCACCGGAACAGGAAAGTTGAAGAGTTTGTTACCTGGTTGCCAGTCAATGATATCACGTAGCAGCGGCGCTAAGGCTGATATACTCTTGAATCCGGATGACCAAATAAGCTTTGGCAAGCATAATTTACTGGTGCTGCCTACTCCCGGACACACCGAAGGTCAGCTATTTTTTTTTTTCGTCACGTTAAAAGCAGGTACTCGTGCTTAAGAACGAACGCCATTGTTAACAAATACGCGGACGTTTTATTCGGCGAGAGAATTTTGCTTTTGCATAGAGACGTTTGACGTAAAATTGAAACGAGAGATCACGCGTAAAGTATTAGGCGATCCCATAAGATCGTGCCATTTTTCGGATCCCATAAGTTCGTGCCATTTTTCCAGCGGTTATATATGTTATTTTTTTTTAAACACCTACGAATCGTTGTCTTAGGTATTTTCAGAACATTCGACATCTCTTGAACTGTCAAACTTCGTGATTTTTCAACGAGATCCCGAATTTTATCTTCGTCCGTCCGAGGAGAACGCGCGGACGTTCCTCGTTTTCTAAACAGAAATTCCCAGCTCTAAAACGTTGGAACCACTTTCTACAGGTGCGAGATGAAAGCGCATTTTCTCCGTAAACAGCACATATGTTTTTCGTGGCAATCGTTACGGAACTTCCTTTCCGAAATTCATATAACACGAGATGTCGAAGATGGATACGCATTTCACACGTGATTTTTTACCGTTAGAAGTCACTGTGTTCGCTATATTACGATCTTATATCCACGAAAATCTGCTCTAGCCTGTTCTCGATCAGCTAAGCTCAAGTGCGTTGGTCCCTTAACGCCGTATGTTTGTAAATCGACACATGAAATGTATACACAAAAGTGGGCGCGAACTTATGGGATCACCTAATAATTTCCTTCGTATTTTTGCGTTTGTTCGAAACACTAGGTATTTCGTACCGTTAGACAGATATCAATTAGATGAAAAAGAACGCAGCAGGGTAAAGCACAAGTTTTCAATGGATTCGTATGCCAATGCATCGGAATGCCAGCCAGCTCTCATAATCAATACATTCGTATTTTAACAGGTTGCGTTACCTACGTATGCTACGAACAAGGTATAGCATTCACAGGCGATGCTTTGTTGATACGCGGATGTGGACGAACAGATTTCCAGGTTTGTGCGAAAAAGAATGACACGTACGTTGTAATAAGAGTTCATAAGTTAATAATTTAATACGTTCATAATTAGTCAAGTGAGTTCATAATTTCGAATCTAAAATTACGACTGTGAAATGTGATGTAAGATATAAATACGAGTATAATTTGAAAATTTTACGACGCTGTAGAAATATATAGAGATTCAGAATGAATTTATAATCGTTCCCAGTTGTTCTTATAGAACAACTGGTAATTATAACTGGTAATGATATAAGATATAAATACGAGTATAATTTGAAAATTTTACGACGCTGTAGAAATATAGAGATTCAGAATGAATTTATAATCGTTCCCAGTTGTTCTATAAGAACATTATAATTTATGCAAAATCGCCGAATTAGTCTGATATGATATGGTTGTTTGATCGCGCGCTATCACGAGGAATCTCAAAAACCTTCTAAATATCGCGTTTTACGTAGCGTGGTTAACTTATTAACCGCAAGGGGATGGTGCGGCCCGTTTAGTCTGAAAATCTGGCGACGATATTTTACACGGGAGAAGTTGAAGTAAAATTGTGCGCACGTTCAATATCGTACACGGTAACTTTTGCATACACGGGCGCATCATTTATTTAGACGCTAACAAGTTTAAAAGCCGACGTAGATACATTGGTACTTGAAACGGTTTACTCGAAATTTCGTCAAAAATCCGTAAATTCACGTGCACTGTACGTACGCGTCGCAAGAGAAACGTCGTTTCATTCTTTCATATTCATATTGAAGGAAATTAATATTTTGTAATTTTCTTGCGTTACAGGGTGGCTCCGCGGAAGTCTTGTACAATTCAGTTCATTCGAAAATCTTCACGTTGCCAGCAAATTTCAGACTGTATCCTGCCCACGATTATTCTGGTAGAACAGTAACCACGGTGGCCGAGGAGAAGGCCTTTAATCCTAGATTATCTAAATCCCTAAATGAATTTGTCGACATAATGAACAACCTTAATCTGGCGTACCCAAAAATGATCGGTACATTAATTCGCTTGCGTGTCGTTTGAAGCGCGAGCCTTGATTTTCGTTTGAAAACGTCGTCTGGAAATTTACGACGGCGGCTGACATTTCCGCTGGCTACGTTTTTGAACTTTCGTAATGATAAAATCTGTTTAACCTTTGCAGACAAAGCTGTACCGGCGAACAAAGTTTGCGGCCTATACGAAGTTGCCAAGGAACAGAAACCATGAAGAGACGAACTGGCTGATATTTTTACGTTCATCGATCGGCTTGTTGTTAATTCGATTTGGTCGTTTTGCGTACGATAATAGCGCATAATATAGAAGAGTATCAATTACACGGTAAAAATAAAAGTAACAATCTAAAAGCGAAACGAGGTGGCCCATCGTTGTTAATTAACACCCTCGACCTGTTTAATTTTGAAATTTGCGCTAGTATTAAAATTAAAATTAAAATTCCGCGTAAAGAAACGCAACGTCATTTCCAACCCTTTTGTTCTCGTTAAACGCTATGGCCACGTCTTCTAAATAACGTATGCTAAATTTTATACACTAATTAAATTTCCACCCGTGCACAGCGCAGGTACCCTGAACTCGACGCATAATTATAATTCAAAATAATTCCAACCGTATTTATCGCACCGTACCAACCGAGCGTGTTCTTATTTCTCGACCGAATCAGCCATAGTTCTACCGTAAACGCGTTATCGTAACGTGCTATCTTGTACAAAGGAGATTTTACATTAGCATAGGTAAATACGTTGAAAGAATTAATCGGCGTGCGAAAGTGGATATCAGCGGCGATGAAAAGATAGCGCTGGTTAAAATTTCGCCGATTTTACCACGTCCCATCCACTCAACTACTTTGACGTTTATAGCCGGGCTGATTTTCTGAAGCACGCGAAACGAAACGTAAGACGGTAATAGAGATGGAGGCTGCTGTAATCGGGTAGTTTAAACGGGCTGTCTTGTCGAAACTCGGGACGAAGAGACCCCCATGGTGTGCCGCTGGTTTCTACTGCATAGCTGAGGGTTGAAATCGATACCGTTTCCAGGGTAACCGGTGGGTACGGTGGCCGACACACGGGCAAAGGTATGGGCCAAGGCTATCTGCTCGTGCGTTTTCATGCTCTTCTGAAAAAAAAAAAAAAAGAGGAGGAAGAAACGGACAGAGACGGTTAGCGGGGCGAGGAGAAAGAAAAACAGACGAAGCCACGCGGAATGTGTAATTTCTCTGGGTCCGATGGCTTAGACGGAAAATAGAGAGAAGTCGAACGCACGGGGTATGCGGTTGGTTAACAAAAATGAAATGTCAAGAGACGTTAAGGCGTACATACTTACGTGCACGCTTCTCTAAACCGTAAAAACGACAAGAGCCGGGAAGCGAACGGATGCAACGAAACAGTGTTGGCAATTCGTCCGGTTTAAAGACTCGTTGATGTGCAGATATATATGCCGCTCACGATATTTCATTCTGTACCGTTTGATTTTGTCTTCGTGTACCTCGTCGTTCCTCTTGGCCTCGCCTTCATTACGCATTATAGACGTATGAGTAATAAGTATTAGAGACGAATATAAACGATGTCGTAGCGTTGTATATTACACTTTGTGTATTAATAGGGCTATTACGGGCGCGTATTAGCGACGATATTATGTAAATGTACAGTAAAAAGGTAGTAGCCCCTGGAACGTTACAACTCTATCATCTTTAACGTTTGGATGTTCATCGGCGGATGCATAATTCGAATCGAATCGCTTCTTTTTTAGTCGCACCCATTTCTCAGCATAATTAACCACTATCGTAGCGTACAATTGCATTAGATTGATTTATACGTTATATCGTACTAGGTTAGCCTGCTATCGGCTGATCGTAGGTACGTCATGACAATATTTATATCAACAATATTTATAATGGGCATGCTATTTGTGACAAATGTCGATTACATTGCTGCACTAGATCGTTGCGGGTGGATTAGCTGCAGAAGGTTCGCGTCAAACTGAATCATTGCTTCGTGTTTTAACGCATTAACTACTACTAACCTGATGTTACGTGTTTCTACAGTTAAGGCCGGATAGATCAATTATCAACGAAATCAACAAAGGAGAACTTTTTCTATCATCCGAATTAGATAAAAATAGGCGATAATAGACGACAGTATGTGAAAGCAAACTTTTCAAATTCTTCAGTAACGCGCAATTTCTCCAAATCGTCAAACTGATCGACCGACCTTAAAAATATTCGACGATGTTTCCTTTCAATCATGCGCATGTATAGCGAGCGCGGATACCACGTTTATTCTGGTTTCCTCTTTTTTTCCCCCGTTTGAAATCGAAACCCGAGGTGTCAGGCGACTGCGACGGATGACGCGCCAAATTCTGTCATCGCTCGGTATTAGCCAGTTCTCTATTCGTTGGCTGGACGATTCGGTTCACCGTATTAAATACTTGAAACGCCTGAAATATAGACGGATTGAATTTATGGTTTAACCGAATATTTATGCAATTATGCGTTGTTAATCGTACACGTATTCGGAATGGTAATGAGTACTGTACGATTCGGTCAATATTTATTACATATGTTAAAACGCGATTATTATTCGATGATACTAATGTTATCAATTTAATCTTATTAAATTTTAACGATACGTGGATATCTTAATTATAGCGTAAACTACTTTCGCGATATATCGATTCGGCATTTCAGTTTCTTCTTATTTTGTACGTTTCATCGACGTTGTAAATTTTTAGTGAAAAAAGAAAAAAAGAAAGGAGAGAAATTTTCACAGAAAATAAACGAACGTTTCGAACGAAGACTGAACGCGGATATTATACACATCTTTTCCCGGATTTTCGTATGCTGAATTTGTTTTCCAACTTTACATTTAAATATCACAAAATTTTGTAAAACGTGAGCTCACGCGCGCACGCAAACAAAGCAGAAAACATTTTCAAGGTGATTTTATAAATAAAAAGCGGTAGTATGTAAACTCGTTTCTAGAAAATAATTTATAACTATTCTTTTTTTATTAAATTTCTTAAAATACAATTTTTCCAATCTCAATAATGCATCGTCGATCATGATTACACGTATTTCCTTAAAAACACTGTACTTTAGTTCAGTTACTTTTAATTAGAAAAGTGATATTGTACGTGAGAAATAAAACAAGAAAATTTCGAAATACTCGTTTTAAGTCATCGGTTCGTGTAAAAGTTATTCCACCGATTAGTATTAGTAGTCTGGATAGAATAGAGTAGTCAGGTGTTTCGTTGAAAGCAACATTTCCGGCGGAAAATCTGTCGAAAGTTGACAATTTCGTTCGAAGTATGTAATACCGTTTAAAATCACGATATTCCCGCTACATTATCGACTGACCATTGCGCGCATGTGAACGCACCCTCCGGCGCGGTCATCTAGTGACAGCTTTTGATTGGTCGAATCGTTTCAGCGGCACCGGCGCCGCGCTTCACCTCCATCTTGATTTCTCGTGAAGCGACCCACCCAGCAGCAGTGTCACAGTAGTACGCTGTGCTCTCGTATACGGCGGGTGAGTGGTGGCTTGCATACAGCAAATTGTTCAGCAACGTTTCTGCCGTTTGTTCAATCAGTGCGTCGTCGTTTTTTCGTAGAAGATCGAGACGAGTCAGGAAATCGTAACCGGCCTGAAATCGAAACGACACACATAGACATCGTGCGGGGAGTTTTATAGAGAGTCGACCAAACGAAGGAAGATGAAGGGGATGCTGGTGCCCGCACTGCTGGGCGTCTTGATGGTCTGCCGGGTCCAAGTGAGTACCTGTATCAATTTAGCTATGAAATAGAAGAAACATAGAACAGATAACGCGTAGACTTACGACTAATTGGAATCGATCGCCTCGGACAATTTATTCGCGACCAGTCTCGATGACAATTTTTATTTTTTTACCCTCTCGTCGAACAAGCGGCAAATGTCACGCGCAACGCGCATCACGATCGATGTAGTAGCCACGGTGTACCTGTCCCGTGGAAATTCCCCTTAAATGCTTGCCAATTAAGCCGTGTGTGCTACCTGTCAAATTGTTCATGGTGCTTCGATCGATGCCACCGCACGATGCTTGATGCGTTCATTTAGAGTGCATTATACCGTGTACGTCTCTGTAACGATCGACAGCTCGACGTTACGAGAATGTGTTTGCTTTCGTTCGAGGACTACGCGATACATAACCGCCTACTGGACTCCAACGCTCTTTCCATGCGACCAAGCGGCATTAATTCGATCTGACGTTATATATTTCACGATATCCTGTCCTCGCTACTTTCCTGGCTATTTTAAACGTTAATGTCATATATCGTAACGCGACGATACCAATTCCTCTTTTTTATCGAATCGCCTAGATTCTTGATCGGGAATTGGGTTTAACGAGTAAAGATTTCTTCGTGCAGAGATTCTTGGAATAAGACTATGTTAGATGCTGTGTTATATTACATAAAGAGTGGAACTTGCACGAGAAAAATTAAAACCAAAGATATATACGAGGAGAAGAATTTAAGAAGAAAAATTATTTACCACTTGTTCATATATTTTGTAAAAATCATTCGAATTCTTAAAACTGTACTAAAACGTTATACGAAACTCGTATGAAAAATTACGAATTGGTCATTTTGACTACCGTAGTAGTTGCAGTGTTAATCGTTAATTTTATACACATCGAATCGCTCGTTTCTTCGAAAATCAAATAATTGTCAACGAAATCGTAATTCGCGTTGTCAATCTTTTACATTTGAAATTTCTCTTCTAACGTCTTTATGTAACGTTCGATAAGAACGTTAGCTTAAGAAATGCATTAATTATCAACGAGATCGTAATTCGTGGTTTTCATCGGGTCGTAAAACGACTGTAAATCGACTTTCAACTGACTCACGTTGGAAATGTTGCTTCGAGCGTCCTTATGTAACGTTCGATAAGAATGTTAGTTTGAAATTCTGGTTGGCAAAGTGTTAACAGTGTCGAAGCGTCGCCGCGCAACTTTCGGTGTGTTCTTTTTTGCCGGGGTGGAAAAAAAGAAGCACGGTCCTTAGGAAGCGTTCGCTTTTAAAACGTTTCAAAGCGCATCTATCTCGGGGGAGTAACCTTGTGTATGCGCAAATTATCACGCACGAACGAACATAGGCAAAACTACGGAGGCACAGACAAAGCAAAGAGATTGCAAATACGTAAGTCGGGAAACGGATTTGCCAACGATTTTCTCGTTAACGTTAATTCCGTGTGACAGTTCAATTTACGTGCTCGTTCGTCGCCATTACTACGAAATAGAATCGTGTCTAATAGATGGAAAAGTTCCTACTGGCAAGATGTATCGCACCGTTTGGTCATGGAATACGACTACAGAATACGAAATAGGCAAGATCGTCCGATTAACGGACGAAAATCACGGATAAATAGTACGATGACTACGACTTCGTTGATCTTTTGATTTTTATTATTATTATTATATCCGAAGTTAAACAGGGAGAGCAACTTGTTCGGTCCAATGACACAAGCCTTCCATCGATGTGTAGATGACAAACTGACGAAGTTTTGCGGAAACTCCGATGGCTTACCTAGCATCTAGAATATGAAAATCGATAGCTTCGAGAAATGAATATTTTTCATGGAAACATGTTTCAAGAAAACATCGTAAGCAAATTTAGTAAGAGTACGAAACTCGCGTATTTTATCAAATTGATTCGCTTCTTCTGGATATTGTCTCGACTCGCTGTTTCTTCAAAATTTCTAAACGAACTTCCGAACGACAGAACAATTTACGTAATTGTTATAAATCATCGAACAAATCACGATTATTCTCGATGTACCCATTCTCAAATCCTTAAATTTACAGTTTTTTAAACACGAATAAAGGAATATGCTATACTTCGTTACGATATTGCTTTCACGATATTGTCCCATTGTCGGACACAAATATTTCAATTGGCGATCGGAATAAAACTTTTGTTCGTCGTCAACGGGTTGCATTCTTCGAATATCAGAATCGAATCACCGCAGTGAAGCGAAAATTCATTGACGCAGCCACATCGGGTTTTCTGGATATTCCAGCGGTTTTGTACTTAACAGCAATTACGATCTTCACCTAGATTCGCCACGTAGCTAAAGGCACGCGGTGTCGCACGATTGAAACGCACAGTTAAAGATCTGCCGTGCTTTTCGATGTTTCCTCATTTCCCGCGGTCCCATTTCTCGCCGTAAAGCCTGGTTTTTACGGAATAAGAAAAAAAAAAAAGAGAGAAAAGGGAAGGAAAGAGAGGAGGGAAAGAAGAGAAAGAAGAAGGAAAAAAGAAAGATATTCCGTCGCTTAAATGCGGCTCCTTGTCCCCATGCTGGCGTACGAGAAAATGCTCTGGTAATGGAGGACGGAGTAAATGAGGACGAAAGAGTTTCAATGCATTTTTCATTTTCGACGCAGATTCTTTTAAGGTCACCTTTCACATCGCTATTTTCTCTCGTTTTTTCGTCCGCCCCTCTTTTCCCTATTTTTTTCTCTAGTTTTTCTTTTCCTCTATTTATTCCGCTTATCTGCTTCTTTCTCCCTTTTTTGTCTCGTTTTTTTTAATCGAACTGCGTATTAATACGCTAACGGAATCGATTGCGCAATTATTACGCCGAATGGCAAGCGAACGCAAATGATTTACTCGCGCGAAATACCGCGTCACACGCCCCGCGATAATTTAGCGACGATTAATCGAGTGGCTGGAAATGAAAATCTCGCGCAACGCGCCCGAGTCCCAGTGTCCAACGGCTGGATGCGCGAAAGAGTTTGTTACGAAAAAGAGAGCGGCAAATACGTTGCAGTTTATGCGATTCAGCCTAGTGGTTTGATAAATTGCGCGAATCATAAATTCATGAGAATGCCGGTTTATTTCGCTATTCGGCGCCCCTTGTTCCAAATGTTTCGCGCGTTAAGCTACTAACTAAGTGTGCAGCGTTCGCATGTTAAATACTGGCTAACTAACGAGCGAACGAAACGAGTTATCGTTTGTGCAAATTGCGAAAAATCCGATAGAACTATGGATACGCGTTATGGAAGCGTATCTGATATAAATCAAAGACGCGAGGTGACTTTTTATAATTCGAGAAAATATTGCGTTGGCAACTAAGTGATTGCGGAGTTTGTCAATATCATCTAACGATAAAATCCGCAATAACTTAGTTGCCAAGGCAATTGATAATTCACACACAGAGATGTGGGATGATAATTGCATTTATTTCTTCTTTTTTTAAATTTCACAAAATCAGTAGTTGGAAGGAGAGATAAGAACGACTTTCTATAATTTAAGAAGATATTGGGTTGGCAACTAAGTGATTGCGGACTTTGTCAATACCAACTAACGACAAAATCCGCAATAACTTAGTTGCCAACCCAACTGATAATTCGTCACAGAGATGTGGGATGATAATTGCATTTATTTCTTCTTTTTCCAAATTTGACAAAATCAGTAGTTGGAAGGGGAGATAACAACGACTTTCTATAATTTGAGAAGATATTGGGTTGGCAACTAAGTGATTGCGGACTTTGTCAATACCAACTAATGACAAAATCCGCAATAACTTAGTTGCCAAGGCAACTGATAATTCGTCACAGAGATGTGGGATGATAATTGCATTTATTTCTTCTTTTTCCAAATTTGACAAAATCAGTAGTTGGAAGGGGAGATAACAACGACTTTCTATAATTTGAGAAGATATTGGGTTGGCAACTAAGTGATTGCGGACTTTGTCAATACCAACTAATGACAAAATCCGCAATAACTTAGTTGCCAAGGCAACTGATAATTCGTCACAGAGATGTGGGATGATAATTGCATTTATTTCTTCTTCTTTTAAATTTCATAAAATCAGTAGTTGGAAAGGGAGATAACAACGACTTTCTATAATTTGAGAAGATATTGGGTTGGCAACTAAGTGATTGCGCACTTTGTCAATACCACTTAATGACAAAATCCGCAATAACTTAGTTGCCAACCCAACTGATAATTCGTCAGAGAGATACGGGATAATAATTGCATTTATTTCTTCTTTTTTCAAATTTCACAAAATTTCACAGTATTTAGAAGGAGAGATAATAACGAAAAAGGCGAAGGAAATTCTCGAAATTTCATTTCGTAATAGCCACGCGAATTGAAAAGAACTCGGCATAGCAGGACGCGAATGTATTTGCAGAAGGAAGTGGGAAATGAAAAGCACGCGGGAAAAGCGCGATAAGTTCGTATTTATTGATTTTCTGGCAGATTTGTCGAGAGATTCGACGCGGAGATTAATGACCGGTAAGTCTTGTTCGAGAAGTCGATTCGCGTGGTTATTAACTTGGCGAACGATTGAGAACGATACGGAACTCGCTGTGTTTTTCCATGGAACAACCCCTCCGGTTGCAACGCCGGTTTCTCTTCTGCTTGTGAACGCTTCGAGAGCTTTTAACAATACGGTGTTAATAAATCGTCAGTGCACCCGTAAGGGCCATTCGGATAACAGACGGTGACGTGAAGTAGTTTCACCGGTGCTTATAAATTAACAGCTAGCTCGACGACCTAAATTTAGATATTTGGATTTAATATCGACCGGTACATAAAACACAATACAGAATCGTAGTCGAATTCCTCGCGGATGAATCGATACGCGTTTGGCTACTTTCGTGCAATACGAATGTGCAGCGCAATCGCGAATTTTCTACAGCAGAAACGTTATTATAACGATCGTTGATCAATTATCGACAGGTACTGCGAATTTCCAGGCAACTTTGTTTATTTTCCAAGTATG